AAGGATTGGTATTAGTTTTTCTTTAAATGTTTGATAGAATCCATGAGTGAGCTCATCAGGAGCAGGGATGATTACTGATTCAATCTCTTTACTAATTGTAAATCTGTTCAGATTTTCTATTTGTGATTAAGTCTCAACAGGTTTTGTGTTTCTGGGAATTTTTCTATGTCATCTAGGTAATCCAATCCAATTTATCTGGCATGCAATTTATCATAGTACTGTCTTGTAATCTTTTTTATTTCTGTAAGTCAATAGTAATGTCCCCACTTTCATTTTACATTTTGATTTTAGTAATTTGAGTCTTCTTTATTCTTGGTCCATCTAGCTAAAAGATTGTCAATTTTGTTGATCTTTTTGAAGTACCAACTTTTGGTTTCATTAATTTTCTCTATCCTCTGTTTCATTTATTTGTACTCTAATCTTTAATATTTCCTTATTCCTGCTGGCTTTGGCATATTATTTTCTTTTTCTAGTTCCTTAAGCTGTAAGTTTAGGTCACTGATTTGAGATCTTTCTTGTTTTTTAATGTAAGCATTTACAGCTCTAAATTTTCTCCATAACACTGCTTTCACTGCATCCCATAAGTTTTGGAATGCTGCATTTTCATCTTCATTTCTAAATATTTTCTGCAAGTATCTTCTCTGACCACAGAGAAGAAATACTTAAGTATTTTCTAATTTCCCATCCCTGTGATTTCTTCTTTGATCAGTGTGTTTTTTAATTTCCACAAATTTCTGAAATTTCCATTTTTCACTTCTAACTTGTGGTCAGAAAAGATACTTTGTATAATAATATATATATTTAAAAATCTTTTGTGACAATCTGTGGCCTACCATGTGATCTATCCTGGAAAATGATCCACATGAACTGGAAAGGAATGTGTAAGTTGTTGTTGGGTCAAGAATCATGAATATGTCTATTAGATCTACTTGTTTTTTTGCATTGTGTAAGTCTTCTGTCTCCTTACTTATCTCCTGGTTGTTCTATCCTACCCACTATCATGAGGGGCTATTGAAGTCTCTGACTATTATTGTAGAACTATTTCTCTCTTCTGTTCTGTCAGTTTTTGTTTCATGTATTTTAATGGTCTGCCATTAGGTAAGTAAATGTTTATGACTGTTCTTTTTGCTGTATCAAACCTTTATTAATATTTAATATTCTTCTTTGTCTCATAAGACTTTCTGATTTAAATTCTATTTCATCTGATATTAGTATAGCCACCTTTACTCTCTTTGGTTCCTATTTTCTTGGAATACCTTCTGTCCATCCTTTCACTTTCAACTAGTTTGTGTCATTGGGTCTCAAGGGTCTCTTATACACACCACACAGAGTTGGGTCATGTGTTGTTATCAATTCTGCCAACTTCTCTCTTTTAATTGGAGAGTTTAATCCATTTACATTTAAAATAATTACTGTTCAGGAGGAACATCTGTCATTTTGCTAATTATTTCTATATATGTGGCTTTTGTGCTCCCCATTTCTTATATTAGTGTCTACTTTTGTGTTTAGTCAATTTTTTTTGTAGTGAATACTTAAATTTGTTTCTCTTTTTAAATGCATATTCTATAAGTATTTTCTTTCTGGTTATCATGAGTTTTATTTAACATCCTAAAATCAAAACACTCCATTTTGAATTTATATAAGTTTAACTTTAATAACATAAAAACTCTGCTCTTTTTAGAGTTCTGTCCCCATCTCTCTTTTAGTTGTTGAGGTTCTATAATGATATCATTTTATATTGTGTGCCCAAACACATAAACTAACCATTTTTAAATGCATTAATCCTTTAAGTTATGTATAAAACAAGATTTGGAATTACAACAATACTAGATTTTAGGCTAATAATTATTTATTTTTTCCTTTAGATGTACTAATCTCTTAAATCATACAGAAAACAGAAAGTACAGTTACAAACCATTGTTACAATAACACTAGTTTTTATAATTGCCCACGTATTTACCTTTATTGAGATCTTTGTTTCTCCATGCAACTTTGAGTTACTCTGTAGTTTCATTTCACCTTTTAAGATTCCCTTAAGCATTTCTGATGAGACATCTGCTCATAATCTTATTGAGCAAAATAAATATATTAATAAAGAAACAGAAACTTAAAAAAAACTCAAAAGAAACTCTGGAGCTGAATAATACAGTAACTGAAATGAAAAATTCACTAGAGGAATTCAAAGACAGGAGCAGAAAAGAAAGAATCCATGAGCTTGAATATAGGACAATAGAAATTATTGAATATGAGGAACAGAAAAAAAGAAAGGTAAAAGAAGAGTAAACAGAGCCTAAGGGACCTGTTGGATAGCATAGGCAGACCGGCACACTCGCTGTGGGAGTACCAGAAGGTGAGCAGAGAGAAAGGGCTAAGGGAATAACTGAAGAATAACAAGTGGAAACTTCCTGAATTTCGTGACAGACATGAATATAAACACCCAAGAAGCTCAAGAAATCCCAAATAAGATGAATTCAGAGGGCCCACACCAAGGCACATTGTAATCAAACATTCAAAAGACAAAGGAAAGACAGAATCATGAAAGCAGCAAGAGAGGTGATTCATCACATACAAGGATCCCCAGTAAGATTATGAGCAGATGTCTCATCAGAAACTTTGGAAGCCAGAAGTCAGTGAGCTGATATATTCCAAGTGCTCAAAGAAAAAGGTGCTGAACAAGCATCCTATATTTAGCAAAACTGCCCTTCAAAAGTGATGGTGAAATAAGACATTCCCATATAAACAGAAGCTGAGGGTGTTCATGGCCACTAGACCTGCCCTACAAGAAATGCTTAAGGGAACCTTAAAAGGTGAAATGAAAGGAAACTGATGTAAGGATCAGTTGTCAATTTCTTCAGAAAAGGCAGCTGGAATTTCATAGAGATTGCATTGAATCTGTAAATCAATTTGGGGAGTATTGCCATCTTAACAATATTAAGTCTCCCACTCCATGAATGTGGGATAGCTTTCCATTCACTCAGATCTTTAATTTCTTTCAATGACCTCTTATAGTATTCAATGACATGTCTTACATTTCTTTTGTTAAATTCAGTTTTTATTACTTTATTTTTATGTTGTTTTAAGTGGAAATGTTTTCTTATTTTCATTTTTTGATTATTCATTACTAGTATTTAGAAATACAATTGACTATTGTATATTGAACTTATATTTTACAACTTACATTTATTAGTTCTAATAATGTGTGCATTCCTTGGGGTTATATAGAATCAAGTAATCTATGAATAGACAGTTTTACTTTTTCCTTGCCAACGTGGATGTTTTTTATTTAATTCCCTGGCTAGAATTTCCAGTACATTGAAGAGAAGTGGTGAAAGTAGGCATCCCTTGTCTTGTTCTCAGTCTTAGAGGTAAAGTGTCCAGTTTTTCAGCATTAAATTTAGCTGTGGGTTTTTCCTAGACCTTTACAGTTTGATGAAGTTCCTTCAATTCCTACTTCATTTAATGTTTTTATCATGAAAGAGTATTGGATTTTGTGCAATGTTTTTTCATTTTTGTGCAATGCATGTATTGATGATCATGTAGTGTATTCTCTTAAATGATATTTCTATGTTGTACCAACCTTGCATTCCTGAGATAAATCTCACTTAGTCTTTTTACATGCTGATGGATTCAGTTTGCTAGTATTTTGTTGAATATTTTGCATCTATTTCATAAGAGATACTGCTCTGTAGTTTTCTTGTGATGTCTCTTTCCGGTTTTAGTATCAGGTAATACTGGGCTTATATGCTCAGTTAAGATGTGTTCTCCCCCTTTTTGGAGGCGAGGGAAGAGTGTGGGAAGTAGGAGAAGCATTTGGAAGAGATTGGCGTTAATTCTTCTGTAACTATTTGGCAAAATTCACCAGTGAAGCCATCTGATCCTGGGATTTTCTTTATGGGATTTTTTTTTAAATTACTAACTCAGTCTCTTTACTTTTTATATGTAATTTAGATTTTCTATTTCTGCTTGAGTTAGTTTCAGGTATTTACATCTTTCTAGGAATTTGTCCATTTCATATGTCATCTAATTTTCTGTTGTACAATTGTTTATATTATACTCTTAAAATCCTTTCTTATTTCTGTAAGATCCAGTACTGATGTCTCTTCTTTAATTCTTGTTTCCAGTAATTTCAATCTTCATTCTTTCATTATTAGTCAATCCAGCTAAAGATTTGCTAGTTTTGGTGATCTTTTCAAAGACTGTGTTATACTTGATTCATTTGAAAAATGTGATCAAGAAGCATAAGGTCATGAGCCTATCCTTACCTAAATTGATGATATTTCTATGAATATATTTCTAATAATTGAATATGTAAGAAGATTTCTTTAAAACACATTTCAAATAAAAGAATAAATGTATTGAGTGGAATCTGGCAGTTTTAGGAGATTGAGGAATGCAGCACTGAGACAGGTAGATGGCATCCCTGTCCTCAAAGGCTTCCAGCCAAAACTGCATTACTATGAGGTGGCATAAGTACAGGCTGCTGTGGGAGTCCTCAGCGGGCCACCTGACCTGGGGAGCTGTCCCCAGAGGACCTGCAGCCTGGCTGTACCACCTCCATTGCTTCCTAGCCCTTTCTGCCTGCTTACATCCAAGATCTGGGGAGGCTGGACAGCTAGCCGGTTTGGGGAGCCCCTCAGGCCTCCATGGGCAGGGGGCTGGCAGGAGCAAAGCATTTGATGAAGGCAGTTGGAGGGAGGTGAGGTTGGGTGGTCAGGCCTTTCCCAGAGGGCTGTGGGTGGTAACTCCTTCCCTCTCATCCCCTCGTACCTGGAAGGCAGGACACATGGGTAGGAGTGATACCAAGCACGCCGCCCTGGTTGATTAGGGGCCCTGTCAGCCTGCCCACACTCTGCCAAGCCCCCTTGAGGCAGGTGGGACACAGCAGGGAAATGAGCCCCAGAGGTGGCTAAAAGGGACCCATGTGAGTTGGCCGAGTCCCACAAGCGCCACAGCCAGTCCATCTGATGCTGCAGTGATGCCTCTGTCCTTATGCCCCGCAGCATTTGAAAATGGGGCCCTGGCTTCTGGCTGGCTTGGTTGGAAGAGGAGGAGTCCCCTGCAGATGCTCTATGACCTGGACCAGGTAGGTGGCCAGATCTCTGCCCAGGGGTGCCCCCCTCGCCCGAGAGCCCCAGTATAGCCCTCCTGTCAGGGGGCTGCAGTCCACCCTGGGCACAGAGGTGCCCCTGAGGTCCGGGCTCTGTCAGAGAGGGAATGTCTGTGGAGGGGACAGAGGCAAATCTTGGCAGCAAGCTGAGAGCTCTGGGGTCTCCCCCCAATTCTCACCCATCCATCATCCACCCAACAATAGATGGAAGCCACACTGTGTGAGGCAGAGTAAAACAGACCTGGTGTCTGCTTTCAGGGAGCTGACAGTAGTGGGGAGATAGTAAGTGAACCCCCAAATATTAGTAACTCATGAAATAGGGAAGCCAGCCAGG